CGGCGTCTTTGAAGGGGGGGTAATGTCAGGATCACCATTGTGCTTTACACAATATTGTGTATTTGGGTCTGGCTGGGATCAAACCTGAGTTTCCTGCATCCCAGTCGGTATCCTTGCATTGAGCTCCACGCATCTTTGACTGTTTCTGGTTGTTCTTGGTATCCTGTAGTCTTTGCCTGTACGCCTGGAATGTGCACACCTGTTCCTGGTTCCTTGATGATTGGCTGAGACTCCCTATTTAAACCCCGCAAGGCTGGTTCTCGTTGTCAGATCGTGTTTCCTGTTCCTGTTTGGTTTCACTGCTATTCTTCTGACTCCTGGTTTTGATCCCCTGCTCGTCTACCGTTTTTGCCTGATTGCCGCCTGTCCTGACTTCTGATTCTGATACTGACTACTCTTCTGGATATCCTTTGTCTGTACTGCGTTCCAGGAAGCACTGGTTATTTCAGCCCCAGTGCACTGTGTCACAACCTTGGGGATTTCTGTCCTGAGTCCCCTTGGCCTGTGTCGAATTGCAAAGGGTGCTTTAACTCTGCGTGCCGGACTCCCACTCCAGGTAAGATCCTTGACAGTAGGTTAGAGGGAGACCTGGATTGAGAGGGAGAACTGGGTAGAGAGGGAGACATGGTTGAGAGGGAGACCTGGGTGAGAGGGTGATCTGGGTTGAGAGGGAGACCTGGGGTGAGAGGGAGACCTGGGTTGAGAGGGAGACCTGGGTGGCAGGGTTATCTGGGGTGAGAGGGAGACCTGGGTTGAAAGGGAGACCTAGGGTGAGAGGGAAACCTAGGTTAGAGGGAGAACTGGGTTGAGAGGGAGACCTGGGTTGAGAGGCAGAACTGGGTTGAGAGGGAGACCTGGGGTGAGAGGGAGACCTGGGGTGAGAGGGAGACCTAGAGTGAGAGGGAGACCTGGGTTGAGAGAAAGACCTGGGGTGAGAGGGAGACCTAGGTTAGAGGGAGAACTGCGTTGAGAGGGAGACCTGGGTTAGAGGGAGAACTGGGTTGAGAGGAAGACCTGGGGTGAGAGGGTGATTTGGGTTGGAAGTGAGACCTGGGTTGAGAGAGAGATTGGGTAATGGGTGATGAGTTGGACACCTAGGAGAGAGGGAGGCCTGGGTGAGATGGACATTTGGATGAGATGGAGTCCTGTGAGAGAGGGGCACCTGGGTGAGAGGGAGACCTAGTGTTAGGTGTAAACCAGCTCACTATGGATACCTTGAGCACTGGAGGAGTATTTTGGTAGTTGGAAGAACTCTTTCAAATAGGGGAAATATTTCCATTTGTGTCTACATTATGATATATTCTGTTGTCACACAGACAGCCTATCACTAACAGAGAAGTTACAGCTACAGCTGTCATGGGCTAGTTTGGGCATGCCTATACAAGGTTTCAAATATGGAACTACAATTCCTGATAACCATCTGTCCGGCTCTGGCTAGCTACACATCAAGGGAAATGTTGTTCAATGAACACCCTGCCAGCCTGAATTGAAAACGTTTCATGATTTGTTTCATGATTTTAATGTATTTAGCACTGAGCAGTGTTTTTCTTTTTGAATGTAAGCATGTTTTTGTATGGGTCACCAAATGGGCTCCTCACAGCAAGAGGAGTCCCCAATAATGAATGCCATCTGGGGTGAGACGTGCCTTCCCCTCTCCCCCGTTAGTATGCCACTGTATTTAAAAACAGCTGCATATCTCTTGACTGTGCCATTGCAAGTTCCCCATCTAACCCTGCCCAATCACAAACATGACAAAACAGCTCAATGAGAAGTCTCTGCAAGGCAGGTGCTCTGGGCCATTGCTGCCTCTTGAGTTTAGCTCCACTGAGCTAACCAAACCAGGAAGTAACTGGACTGGTTGTCAGGAAAATTTGCATCTGCATTTGCAAAACTCCTCAAAAAACCTTTGCTATTTTTCATTGGCACTCGACGAAAGCAATGATGTTCGTGATTCTGGACAACTTCTACTTTTCATTTGTGGGACAAATGATTATTTCGAAGTCACAGAGGAGCTTGCTGCACTGAAAAACATCAAAGTGACAACAACAGGAGAGGATATCTATAAAAAGTTTGCCAAACTGTGAATGATTTGGAGCTGGACTGGGCTAAACTAGCGTGACAACTGACGGTGCTCCTAGCATGGTGGGGTCTATGAAAGGAGTGGTTGCATACATTAACAAAGAGATGGACAAACACAACCATTCACATCCAATAGCCTTACACTGCCTGATCCACTAACATTGAAATTGTCGATCCGATTTACCAAATGAAATTGGCCGAACTGCAGAATTGTGACTCTTTGAAAGACACATTCAAATCAAGCAGCCTTACTAATTTCTATGCAGCTCTCCCCTCTGAGACATCTTTTTTTTTTTTTTTTTTTGACATTTTTTATTTCAGTTTTGTTTAATTTTTCCAAGTTTCAGTTGTGCATTAATGTGTTTAAACAGAAATAAACATTATGGATCAGCTTGCATCAAGGTAAACAGTGTACATAAACACAACAGGGTATAGATCGCATCGAAAATGTGCTATTTGTAAACATTATGTGGCATAACTTGCATCGGGAAGTCAGTGTGTGTAAAACTGTGTGTCCAACCAGCTCAAGTAGTGAGCTTTCTGGGAACATAGGTGAAACTAGCAGGGGCAGAGACCAGGAGTATGTCTCAATCCATAGTCCTGGTAAATAGGCGTAGGCTCAGGACGTGAATTGCTGACTAGTACATGGCAGGCAGATCTATATACAGCAGGTGTACCTATTGTCAACCTACTTTGCAACATGTTACTACATCTCACTGTGTCCTTTTTTCCAGTATTCCTTCTCTCTCCCTCGAGTCACCCTCCCCTGACTATCTCCACTCCGGCTCAACTCGTGTAGTTATGTTTCCCTCCTTGTTTCGCATGTAGTGCACTTGCCAGGTTCGCTGTCATATGTCTTGTGGTAATAGTGCTGGTATCGTGTATACGTGACACCAATGTGTTGGATTCGGGTTGTTACGTGCATATTGTGACCTGTTGGCTTGGGGCTGTGATTTATGGTTCGTTATTTTATGCATGACTGTAGATTGCTGCCTCCATCCCCAGTAGGGTCTTGCGGGGTGTCCATCATATGGTGTTCGCATGTTAAGGTGGTGGGAAGCCTAAGAGTCGTGACCCTGCCTACCCCCCAGTCTTTCTGTCCGGCTAGTCCCCGCTAAGCGGGTGTGAAAGTGTGCATGCCCTGGCCAGTGGTAGGGAGCGTGGAGGATGCGCAAGGGACGTAGGGGGCAGGTGGCTATTGATTTTAAGAATAGCTTATTTGGAGTCACAGTGGCGATATTGACACTTGTTAAAAGTATGTTTTGCTTTCTGCGTTCATTCTAGTTCAGGGCAGTGTTCAATGTGTTTGTATCTTGTTTCCGGGTTGCTCGAGGCCCGACATCGTGTCATAGGTCTCTGCCTGGGAGCCTTGGGCTTAGGGACTCAAGTGCCGAGCTATAACTGGGGTGGTACTGGGGGAGATCGAGTGAAATCATTTGTCAGTTGTGGGGCCGTGATTAGGTAGGTTTTGGTGTGAGCGTTATACGTCTACTTGTGGGTGTCGGTGGCTTACCGATTTGTAGTGAGGGGTGTTGGTTGTGTTGGTCTGCTATTGTGTCTGCCATGCCTGTGTGTGAGCATGCTTGGTGGCATTCCCTGTCTTGGTTTACTGTGTAAGTCCTCTGCCTTCTTGTGTTGGGGTGTCTCTCTCAACCCCTCCCTCCTCTTCCCCATCTTTCTTTCTCCGTTCCCTTCGGTTTCGGGGGTTAGTTTACCGTTGTTGGTGCCATTTGCTCCCTAAACCTTGGGAGTCCTGGCGGGCCCAGATTGCGTTGGTGTTGTCTGTGCGTATCGTGAGTCTCTTCCTGTCCATCCTTTTGTATGTATCGCCTTTTGTGATTCGGGATTCCTCCTGTCCTTACTTTATTTGTCTATGCCTAGACTCTGTCGGGAGTTGGTGGGTCTTGGGGTTGGGATAGGGCCGGGGAGGGTTGTGAGTTATGTCCTGTCTTGTGGGGTTTAGTCGGGCGTGTTGGCTCCGGAGGGAGCGTCCCCCAGCCGGGAGTGTATGTGCCGCTGCAGTGGCGCCCCCGTCCCCCCCGCGTCAGTTCTTGCTGCTGTCTTGGATATGTAGTCCATCCACGGGAACCATGTCAGGGTACATTTTTCTGCGCGTCCCTGTAGGGAGGCCGTCATCCTTTCCATATTGTAGATCACTTCCACCCTGTCTATCCATTGTTGGTATGTGGGAACTGTTGGGCTTTTCCACATCGTCGGAATGAGTGTTTTCGCAGCCGTCAGCAGATGTATGACGAGGCCTCTCTTGTATGCTTTCAGGGGTGTGTGGGTGTGATTTAGCAACATTGGTAGTGGCTGGAAAGGTATCTCTGTTCCCGTGATTTCTTTTATCAATCGGTGGACCATTCGCCAGTAAGGTATGATGTGCGTGCACTTCCACCAAATGTGTATTCCTGTGCCTATTTCTGTGCCGCACCACCAGCATTCGCCTGGAACCGAGTCATGGATGTGCCGTAGAACATCCGGGGTCCGGTACCAGTGAGTCAAAATTTTGTAATTACATTCTTGGAATTTAGTGCTTATGGATCCCTTGTGTGTGAGTTGGAATATTTTTTCCCATTCGTTATCCGTGAGTATTACATCCGCGTCTCTTTCCCATCGTTCAGTAAACCCCAGCGGTGTTTTGTCTCCGCTGTTTTGAAGCATGGTATATAGGATCGAGACTCCGTGTGTGAGGTGGTGTCTGTCTGTGCATAGTTGTTCCAGGTAGAGCAGTGGGCGGTGCAGATGGCCCCTGCCTTTTACAGTGGCAGCGTACATTTTTATTTGGTCTGCGGTCTTGTAGGAGTTCCCCCAGTGTCTTTAGGTTCGGCCCGTCACACCATTGGCTTATGTATACCCAGTCTGTAGCTCCCAAGTTCCTTAGGTCGGCTGGGCTAAGCCCTCCCGCTAGCTTCGGGTTGTTAGTAATAGGTGTAAGCGGGTTGGGAGACGTCGTGAGGTTCCTGGTGTAACGTACCTTGCACCAGACCTGCAGCGTGGCATTTATCACTGGGTTGTCCGTGCGTAAGTTCCCAAGAGATGCTTCGCCCAGCCACAGTTGGGCGGGGATTTTGCCTTGGGCTTGTTGTATTTCTATGTGGATCTAGTGGTCGGGTTAGCGTGCCAGTCGACCAGTCGATGTATGTGGGTTGCCTGATAGTATGTGGTGATCGACGGAAGTCCCGTTCCGCCCTGGCTTTTTGGTCGTTCTAAGGTGGACCGTTTCACGCGTGATGGTTTGTGGTTCCAGACGAACTGTCGGATGGTAGTCGTTATCGCTTGAAAGAACCCTCTTGGGATGGTTGTTGGTAGTGTCTGGAATAGGTATAGAATGCGAGGCATGACATTCATTTTTATTGCGTTTATGCGGCCAAACCATGAGATGTACTGGGCCGTCCACCGTTTTATATCTTGTTGTAGGGTAGCTAGAAGGGGCGCAAAGTTCAGTTGGTATATGTGCGTCGTGTCCTCAGGTAGCCAGACGCCAAGATATCGCAATTTGGAGGTGCATATTCTGAAGGGGAATTGCGTTTGGATGTGTTGCTGGAGAGCCATGTCCCTCGTCAGCAGCATTGCTTCGGATTTGTCCAGATTTAGCTTAAGGTTGGATACCTCACTGTAAGTTCGAAATGCGTCCAGGAGGTTTGGTGTCGATACCCTAGGTTGCTCCAGGAAAAAGAGCATGTCGTCGGCGTAAGCCACTACTCGGTGTTCCTTGCCGCCTATGCTATGTCCCGTGATCGCCCCGTGCTGTCTAACCGCTTCAAGGAAGGGTTCGAGAGTGAGGACGAATAGAAGGGGGGATAGGGGGCATCCTTGTCTTGTGCCGTTGCTTATGCCAAATGAGTCGGTCAGCGCTCCATTGACTCGTATGCGTGCTGACGGCGTGGTGTATAGTGCGGCTACCCAGGTTCGCAATCGCGGGCCAAACCCCATGTGGCTCAGGGTCGCTGCCATGTAGTTCCAGTCTACCCGGTCAAACGCCTTTTCGGCGTCGGTGGATAGAAGCACCATATCTCGTTTGCCGGCCACTGTTGTGTGCATGATGTTAAGGGCTCGGATGGTGTTGTCCCTGGCCTCCCTCCCGGGTATGAACCCTACCTGGTCCGGGTGTATCAGGTCGGGGAGCGTTTGCGCTACTCTGGTGGCCATGGCTTTGGCGAAGAGTTTTATGTCCGCGTTTAGCAGAGAGATTGGTCGGTAGCTGGCACAATTAGTTGGGTCTTTTCCTTCCTTCGGTATGATCACGACCGTCGCTCTCAGGGTGTCTTTAGGGAATCGTCCTCCTTCTTGGATGGAATTGATCCCGGTGAGGAGTCTAGGAAGGAGAATGTCCTTAAAGGTACGTATATACGCGATAGGGAGGCCATCAGGTCCTGAAGCCCTGTGGGGCTTGGATGTTTTCAAAGCTCCCGCTAATTCCTCAATTGTCAAGGGTAGTTCCAGGTCGGCCTCTTGTTCAGGTGTCAGTTTGCGGGTGATATGTTCTTCTAAGTATGTAGCTATCCGTTCCTGATGGTGTGTCGCCGTATGTCCCGTTTTGTGTTGTGCTTGGTCGTATAGCGTCTTGTAATACTCTTTGAAAGCCGTTAGGATGCCCTCCGGGAGCCGGGTGATGGCACCTTCTTTCGTGTGTATCTTGTGGACGTGTCGTGTTCTCCGTTTTTCTTGGAGCATCTTTGCCAGCAGTCGTCCACTTTTATTCGAATGTTCGTAGAAGTATCGAGATGTTTTCCTGGCAGTGTGGAGTCGTCCTTGGGTTAATATATCTCGAAGCTCTCTGCGAGTTTCCGTGATGTGGAGGTATGTGCTGTCATCCAAAGTGGATTTATGGGTTTGTTCAAGCTCCGCTATGCGGCTTGCCAGGTTAGCAATTTGCGTCGTCCTTTGTTTTTTGCGTCTGGTGCAGCTTGTGATAAGGTGTCCTCGGACTACACATTTGTGTGCTTCCCAGAGAGTCAGCGGCTGTATGTCCGGACTATCGTTCGTCGTGAAGTAGTCAGTTAGGGCTTGGTTCATAGCGGTGGTAAATTCCAAGTCGTCCAGCATGGATTCATTAAGCTTCCACTGTCTTTCTCTGGGTTTAAAGAGCGGGGATTGTGTATCGATCAGTACCGGTGCGTGGTCAGAGTGGTCCATGATGCCTAGGTCTGCGCTACGTAATAGGTTAAGATACTCCTGGGCCATGAAAATGTAGTCGATTCGACTATAGTGTGCGTGTACCGCGGAGTAGTGGGTATAGTCTCGGTCGTCTGGGTGGTATGTCCTCCAGCAGTCCACTAGCCCCATCTTGTGTAAGAATCGTTGTGCGGCTTTCAGGCAGTGTGTGGGGATCGCACTTTGGCCCCTCGAGGTGTCTCGTATGGGGTCCAGCGGCATGTTTAGATCTCCTGCTACGATTAGCAGGGCCCCTCTGAACTTTTCCAGTTTGGCTAGCACCTGGCGTAGAAACTTATGTTGCTTTCTGTTTGGACCGTATAAGCACGCAAAGGTGTATTCATGGTCTGCGATGGTGCCTCTCAGGAAGAGGTACCTCCCGTTCGGGTCTGCTAGAGTTTGTGTATTCTGGAATGGTACCGAGTGAGCGAACAGAATCGCGACTCCGGCTTTTTTGGTGTCGGGGTGGTTAGCGTAGAATCCCAGAGGAAAGCGCCGGTTTTCTAGTTTAGGTGCGTCTCCACCTTTGAGATGGGTTTCTTGCAGGAAAACTACGGAGGCTTTAGCGCTCCACAGTCGACGGTGCAAGTGGGCCCGTTTTTCCGGGGAGTTGAGTCCCTGGACGTTGTTAGACCAATACGTCAGCTGGGCCGGGGCAAACGCCCGGGTGGCAGCCATTTTGGGAGGAGGGAGGGGGCCCCACTCGCAGCGGCACTGGAGGGGTGAGGGGAAGGATGTCGTCTAGAATGCGGGTTCTAGGAGGATGGGGTTATCTGGGGTCAGGAGGACCCGCGAACGGGGTTAGTTTGGGTGTGACGTCGACCCTGTACCGGATTTTGGGGGTTCTCGGGAGTTGGTTACCTGACCTTCCCTGAGGTTCCGGTATAATTTACAGGAGGGTCTGTCTCAGTGAGGCTCGGTGTCGTCTTGACCAATGGAGTGGCTCGGTCTAGTGGTCGGTCGTCATCTACTGTCTCCTTCAGCTCCCAACCTGATTTGGGCTTTCGTAGTAGCTATGTCTCTCGGTGTAGTGTTGAAGATGGGGTGCATGGTAGCAAGTTCTCACATGTCGCTGTGGGGCCATTTGTGTATCTTGTTGTGTGCTTTTAAAGGGCGTGTCCCTCCCAGTCTCCCCCTTCGTTGTGTGTGTTTGTGGCTGTCTGTTCGACTCCCTGGCTCGCTCATGGCCGTATTTGGGTCGGGGTTCCGCGGTGTTCTTGGGAAGAATTGGTGTATGTGTGCGCGGCGGGTCCGTAACAGTCAGTGGCGCCGGGCCGTGGGGTCTCACCTCCTGTCGGCGTGGAATCAGACGGGCTGTGTTCGGGTCTGTTCGTCCCGGAGTGGAGCCCTTGATGTCTGCCCGTGGCTTGGATTCCGCTACACGGGCCCAAGGACCGCTGTTCGGGTCCCAAGTCTTGTCATCTAGGGGCCCCGTTGCCGTCTGTCTTGGGGGGCTTCTCATGCTTGGGGCATATCGGGGGTGTGCGGCGTCGTGATAGTGTGTCTGCCTCGTTATGTTCTGGTAAGTGTAGCGTGCGTGACACGTGGCGGAGCAGGAGTGAGTGCACATGCGCGTCAGGGGTGGATTGTGTGGGGGGGGTGGTTCGTGCCTGCAGCTGGGTTACTGTCAATGTTTTGCTACGTTATAGGCCGTGCAGTCCCTGATCCCCCCAGTCTGTCTTCTGTGTCCGCGTGATGCGTCCATCATCCCCCCCTCCTTATCTGTTAGTTCGTCCCCTGCGAATCCCGAGTATTGTGCCTTTGCCATGCCCTAGACGCCCGTACATCTCTCTGGTTCACTTATGTGCACTCTTAGCCCCTCCCAATGTGATCGCTAGTGTAATGGGCCTGGTGTGACGCACAGGGTGTCTCTTCTAGTGCATGACCAGTGCATATGTGTTACTCTGGTGGGCGCTCTTTGTGGTAACCGTGGGCATTAACTTGTCTAGTGGAATATGTACAGTAGTGGGACACCCCATCTACCACTCGGGTTCCTAACATGTGACACAAGTGTCCCCCGTTCCCCAACCGCCACCACCCACTCCCGGAGCCCCCCCTGTCCGCCCGGCATCAGTTTGGTCCGCTGTCCGTTGAGCAGCTACGTTTAGCGACTGTTTTGTTAGGGAATTCGGCTTGTTGAGGGCCTGGTTGCCGTCCATGGGGAGTTCCACATCGTCCCATTTATCCCCTCTCCCATGGAATTCCCCCCCACCCAACCTGACAGGGTACCCCGCTGTAGGTGCTTGGTATTGGGTAGGTCTGGGTGGTTCTAACCTCTATAGCTGACCCCCGGGCTGCCCCGCCACCCCACCTAGGCAGGGAGGACCCTTGTCCCCTAGCTAGTATAGTGGAAGAGTACATACCCCTGGCAGGCAGGTGCGTGGAGAGTTCCGGGCTGGAAGGATTCCGATGGGGAGAGGGGTCACGGCAGCAGGGTCTTGGTGTCGGAGCGGCTCAGGGAGGAAGTTTCCGTAGCTATTCAGGGACGGTACTGGTTTATTCTTCTGAGTTCTCCGGGCCTCCCTTGCGTTGTGGTGGAGTGGGTCCCGAGCGGAGGTTGTGTGCTACTTCCAACGGGCCCGTGGCCCGGGCTGGGGGACCCTCCAGGATCCAATTCGGGATCTGTATCATGGGTAGGCCCGCAGCTTGTAGAAAGCAGGGGACGTCGTTCGGCCAGCGGATTATGTGCCAGACATTGCCTGAGCGAGCTTGGAGGCTGAATGGGAACCCCCATTTATATGGTATCCTTCTCTCTTGCAGCATCCGTGTCAGTGGTCTGAGCGCTCGGCGGGCATCTAGGGTAATTGTGGACAGGTCCTGATAGAGGGAGATTTGGGAGTCCATGTATGTGATCCTTTGCTGCGCCCTTGCTGCTTGCATTATGGCCTCCTTTAGTTGGAAGGATTCTAGGGAGCAAATGATGTCTCGTGGGAGGCCGTCCCTTCTAAGCGCCCGCAGGGCCCTGTGCGCCCTCTCCAGACCGAAGTCACTAGGAGCCTCGCTTCCCATGAGGTGTGTGAACAGGCCTGTTAGGACTTCTTGAGGGATTTCTCCCTCAGTTTCTGGGAGGCCTCGGACCCTTATATTTTTGCGACGACCTCTGTTGTCGAGGTCCTCCACTTGGCGGCGGATGTCCAGGAGAATGTTTCCCTGCCGCCCTGTAGCCAGTTCTGCCGCATGCATTGTTTGGGCGTGCTGCAGGCGGTCTTCCTCCAGGCTATCTACGCGTTGTTCCAGGGCTGAGAGGTCCCTGCGGACCGCTGTGATCTCCTCCAGGATGACAGCCTTCAATTCCGCGACCATGTCTGTTTTATCTTTGCGGGTGAGCATGTTGTTAGTGATGGTTGCCAGGTCTCCAGATATTTGGGTCAGCATAGGGGCCGCCGGAGGGGTCCGGTCCGAGTGCGCTATGCTGGAGGTCGGAGAGGACGGCGTCGGCGTGGCGGAACCGTCTAGGCCTCGCGGGCCCTGGGATGCCAGTAAGTATTCGTCCATCGGGCCGGGGTAATATTTCGCCGGTGTGGCACCGGAGTTACCAGCGGCGTTTGTCTTCTTGCTTTTCCCCATCTTTATTTGCTGTTTATGGTGCTATTTGCCGGGGTTTACCAGGTTGGGGCCTAGGAGCTTAGGAGCAGTGCGTCTTACTCCATCGGCAGTCCGGACACGCCCCCTCGAGACATCTTAATCTCAGGAACCATGCACTCAAAAATTGCAACCACCTCTGACAGCACCTATATCTGTGAGCAAACTTTTCCCCGAATTAAACATCTGAAATCTCCAACCAGATCCAGACTAACTGATGAACAATTGCATCACTTGCTAAGACTAGCGGTGACAAATATGGAACCAGATATTGATCATATCATTAGCCAAAAGCAGGCCCATACTTCCCATTGAAATACTTATACGTTTATGTTGATTAAAATCGTTCTTAATTTTAAATATTGTATTGTTTTTCCTGTTTTTTTTGTGCACTACAAAATAAATATGTGCAGTGTGCATAGGAATTAGTTCATATTTTTTTCAAATTATAGTCCGGCCCCCAACAGGGTCTGAGGGACAGTTAGCTGTTTGAAAAGTTTGAGGACCCCTGCTCTAAATACTTTACCAGTGCCGCTCCCGAGATTCGCTCCTGCTCCCATATCATACACTAAAACTTCTGCAGCATTGAATAGTCACAATGGGCAGTTATACATAATGTATACAAGATGCTTCTTACAATTTGGGTATTCGTTTGAGTTTAGAATGCATAAAAAACTACTGATTGTGGTTTAGTCACTAAAGCCGGGATTGTGGAAAACTGACAAGAAAATTGCACGTTTATCCAAAAATGCTTGACTTTTAAGGATAGTTCAATTTGAATTTTTTGCATTTTGTCCTAAAATTGCTGTTTCCTTCTAAATTCTTTACAATCACAGTTTTATGAATAACTGCATCAGGGTTATTAAAGGACCACTATAGTGCCAGGAAAACATACTCGTTTTCCTGGCACTATAGTGCCCTGAAGGTGCCCCCACCCTCAGGGTCCCCCTCCCGGGCTCTGGGAAGAGGAAGGGGTTAAACACTTACCTTTCTCCAGCGCCGGGCGGGGAGCTTTCCTCCTCCTCTCCTTCTTCCTAGCGACGTCATCAGCTGAATGCGCATGCGCGGCATTCATAATGCTTTCCTATGGACGCTGGTGTCTTCTCATTGTGATTTTCACAGTGAGAAGCACGCAAGCGCCTCTAGTAGCTGTCAATGAGACAGCCACTAGAGGAGGCTTTAGAGGCTGGTTAACCCTCAGTGTAAACATAGCAGTTTCTTTGAAACTGCTATGTTTATAAAAAAAAAAAAAAAAAAGGGTTAATCCTATCTGGACCTGGCACCCAGACCACTTCATTAAGCTGAAGTGGTCTGGGTGCCTATAGTGGTCCTTTAACTTAAACGTGAATTATCAGTAAAATTAAGTGAATTTCACATAGGCTAAAATAGCTAAAATGAAAACATAGCTAACGTGGAGAAATGATCCAGTTAACCTATTTTGGCCTACACTTTGAATTTGCAAGAGATTTTACAGAGCAGCCATAAGATAATGTAATAAATACTATACCTACCAACTGTCCTAGATTTTAAAGAGCAGTCTTGATGTTCACCAATTGAGTGAAGATTGTATTCTTTGTTACAGGACCAACCAAGTTCGCATAAATGGCTACATGCCCTTAAAAAAGAGATTGATCCATTAGGTGGCTATCGGCATTTAGCATCCTTTTATACTTTCAAAGGTCTCCAAATTTCCACTTTTTAGTAAAATAAAAATAAAAAGTATGATTGCGTTATTTCTAAAATTGGTAAACCCCTCCCCCCAAGCTCTGGACATATAGCACGCAAGGAGATATCATGCTCCAATATTTAAAGCTTTTGTGACCTCTTAAAGGAACAGTTTAGGGACCATAACAACTTCCTGGGTTAAACCCGAAAGTCTGTGTTCCAGCGCCAAATCTTCTTGCCTCTCGGCCCTTCTGTTTTTTTTAAAAATCTCTAAACTGCAATGCTTTTGCAGATTTGAGCAGTGGTGAGCTGATGCTCTGATGCTGATGCCTATCATTAAATCCCCATTCATAAAACTGGCTTGAAAAGAAACGTACCTTTTTCATGAATGGGGATTCGCTGACCGCTCTCAGTCAATCATTGGCGCCGCTGCCCTGATGATGCAAGAGCCTTCCGGTTTAGAAATTTTTAGAAAATGGAAGGTTAGAGAGGCAGGGAGATTTGACGCTGGAACACAGACTTTGGGGTTCAACAGTCCAAGAACCGTTCATTAGATGAAGTTGTTATGGTTACTAGAGTGTTCTTTTAACCACATAGAACATTCAAATTTTTTTAAACATGGAGCAATCAGAAGTAATAAGGAGCGAGAAAGTATTAACTAACATATTACTACGCTAGAGGTAAAAGGTGGCAGTTGTAAAATAAAACTTTATGGTAAAATGAATGCGCTAAGTTGTACTTTTGACACATCCTAGGACAGATTATACGATTTAATAAGTTACGTTTAAACAACTGGTTTACCACAAATGACAAATTCCTTAAATGGAAAATAATATACGGCCACTTTGCCATTCAGATTACAGACATTTATTGGGGAAGTGGGGGGCAGGAGGGGACATGAAAATTATTGGGCACAGATAAATGTGATAGCCAACGACATCAATCCAGAATTAGAAACTGCAACAGCAGCATGGAGCAACTCAATGCAGTCTCTAGACAATAAGGAAAAAAGGGAGAAACAAGGGGAGAGAAAATAAATGTAAATTAATACAATGGTGGTTTTTAAATGGTGTATAATTTGAAGACCCATATTTGCGAATGTACAAAGAGGCTTCTAGACAGCAAGTTGTCCTAAGTACCTGTATTAGATGTATTACTGTGTAGCTTTCATGTAATTGTTTTCTTTTTTCTTATCCAGAGGCAATGAATAGAGTCTTGTGACAGTGATCTATCACTATACATACTCTATACAAGGCATAGGCAACCTTCAGCACTCCAGTTGTTTTGGACTTCACCTCCCATGATGCTTTGCCAGCATTATGGGCGTAAGAGCATTATGGGCAGGGCCAGATTAAGAGCCCAGTGGGCCTGGTGCTGACAATTATGAGGGGCCTAATTACAGAATCTTATCGACCAAAAACACTAAAACAGTCATACCTCTCAAGCGTTATGTATCTGGTGGAGATGGTGCCAGAGGGAAACTCATAGGATGCAGCTATAAGAAAACGCCGATTTTCTTAAAATATGCTAATCTCTCTCTTCATCTTTCAAGTAAATCCATTCCCCCTAACAGCAGTGTCCAGTGAAGCAGGAAGTCAATGGGCGGTGTAAAAGGGTGGGCTACTGACACGAATCGCGTGACCAGAACAGCCAAAAGCAGCGACAATGCCCAAAAAGGGGGCATGTCTGCCCAAAGAATTGGAAGGCCAGCCTATGTATCACAGTGTCAGTTTCCCCATGTCACTCAGTCCACTAGTCTCCAGGTGTCTGTGTCCTCATTGCTCCCAGTGTCCCCATGTCTCAGTGTGTCCTGTGTCACTAGGATACTAGGGGACACTGAGAGACATGGGGACACAGTGAGACATGGGGACACTGAGAGACATGGGGACAGACACTAGGGACACAGAGACATGGGGACACAGACATTTGGGGACACTAAGATACTAGGGACACAGAAACATGGGAACACAGACACTGGGAGACTAGAGGACACTGGGAGACATGGGGACACTGAGACACTAGGGACACTGGCTGGGAGGCATGGGAACACAGACACTTGGGGACACTGGGAGACATGGGGACACAAACATTTGGGGACACTGAAACATTTGGGGACACTGGGAGACATTGGGACACTAGGGATACTGAGAGACATGGGGACACAGACACTGGGAGGCAAGGGGGCACTGGGAGACATGGGGGCACTGGGAGCTATGGGAACACTGAGACACTAGGGACACTGAGAGACATGGGAACACAGACACTGGGAGACTATAGGACACTGGGAGCCATGGGGACACTGAAACACTAGGGACACTGGCTGGGAGACATGGAGACACTGGAAGACATGGAGACACTGTGTCATTAGTGTCTCCGTGTCCCAATGTGTCTCTCAATGTCCCTATGTCTCACAGCGTTCCCTAGTGTCTCAGTGTCCCCATGTTTCCCAGTGTCTCCAAGTGTCTGTGTCCCCAGGTCTCCCAGTGTCTCAGTGTCCCAATGTCTCCCTGCAGCCTTTCCCCTCATCCCTCACTTCCCTGAGCTGTAGGCTGTCTCTGCAGGCTGGGAGCTGCTGTCTAGACTCTCTGTGCTCTGTAGCTGCTCCCCCGCGGATCAATGAGTAGAGAGAGGCAGGGGGGGAGATGCTGTAACTTCATATCCCTGCCTCTCTCCACACACACAGTGACCCCTACTGGCCGACGCTGGTATTGCAGAGTAATCTCTGTTTATACTGAGAAAAATATCGGCATTTGTATTGACGGTATTACTGCAATACCAGCACGGCCAGGCAGCCTCTAATACCATCTGTGCCAGTAAAATGCCAGTCAGGTGGCAAACCTAAGAGTAGAGTGTAAAAAAAAAAAAATATATATATATTTTTTTTTTTTTAAATGGGCCTATTCCATGGGCCTGGGCCTGGAGCTGCAGCTCCATCAGCCCCTATGTTAATCCGGCCCTGATTATGGGGGATGTAGTCCACAACATCTGGAGTGCTGAAGGTTGCCTATCCCTGCTCTATTCTATACACGCTATGCAAGATGAAGCAATTAAGAGGTTGGGCTCTTTTATGCCAATTGGTGCAGTTGGTAGTGAAATTCACATTATAGTATTAAATAACCTGAATACCCTGTCAATTGGGGGGGTGGGGGAGGCGGGGGCTGATCTCAGCTTGTTGTTAAACTGTCATTTCCATAATTCCGCAGAAGCCAAAAGTGATTGAAGTTGAAGTTATGCTATTGCTGGTGACT